TACGGTTAAGTTTCGTACTAAGTATTTCCAATGCACTGACACAAGAAAATCATCTCATGCTCTAACTAACAGATTGCAAAATTGAAAGAAAAAATCTTTTAAATTTAGGTGCTCTGAGAGTGACATATACGAGCGTCAATTTTGACATAAATTTTAGTCATAACAGACGCGAAATATAGCTCAATCATACGTACTTTTCGTCATGCAACAAACTTTTCAGCCTCGGAGCACTTAATTTTACATTAAATGTTTGTTTACGTCTCATCTTTTATGTCAAAGACGGATTCCGTCACGTGTAAAATTAGTTATTTCTTTGTGTGCAATTAAAAAGCAACTGGATGTCAAAATCTCATGTCAAATTGGATTTGACAATCGAACATAAATCAATTCACGGGGGGTGTCCTATGCGTTTTGGACAGCGCATTACGTGTAATAATTGTACACATTTGGAATTTGCTCGAATATTTTTAGTTTTATTTTGAATTCTAAAATGAAACATGAACTAAAATGGCACACATCATATGTTTTGTCAGTTTCAAGCAACTTGTTTCAATCTGCTGTGATTGAATCTGCTTTTAGTGAAATCTTCTCAACCACAACAAAGCATGCGTACACCCCCAATAAATTTTAGCCTTCTGTCAGTTGACCTAACTAACGAATCGAATTCGTTAGTTGGGCCGAGGTGGTGGCCCAACCAGCGAATTTTGACTGTACTACACAATGTTTGCTTTGATTCGCTATGAAAGTTTGACAGATAAAATGAGGGGTTCGTGGATTTTCCTATTTTTCGAGGGGTGCATCGATTAGCTTGGGACCGAAGATAGTACCAGAGCTGAGCCAAAAAGTTGAGCACGTTTCTTAGGCATATTCTCAAAGGAAAAACTCTGCTGAATCGATTGGTGTTGGTATCATTGGCTGGATATTTTTGCGTACCGAGATAGAGGGCCGGGATCAACCCGAGTTCCTGGTAAAGTAGGAAATGCCGCTATCTATCGACATAATTGTACACTTAACCTAACGTTTATTACTGGAAACTAATAGTACTAAGTATATATGGTTTAAAGACACCATATATGCGCTCAGGGAAACTCTACTGGCTTAAAGAAGGATCCGGAACGTGACCACTTTATAAAAAATTTCCTTGAACCTTGTGATTTTTTTTATGTTGTTCAGAATCAAGAGATCAAAGCGTATTTAATATGTAAACTATATTTTGGGGTACAGTGGCCATATTCTGGTTCCTCGGATAATCTGGATTGACCGATAAAGTGGCCTCATTATAAAATTGTTCCTAGAACCTTGCGATTTTTTTTATGTTTGTTCAGAATCATGAGATCAAAGCGAATTTAATGAAGAATTTAAATTTTGGGGCAAAGTGGCCATATCCTGGTTCTCTGGATAATTTTGATTAATTGATAAAGTAACCACATTATAAAAATGGTCCTAGATCCTTTGCGGTTTATCCATATTGTTCAGAATCACGATATTAAAGCGTATTTAACTAGGAATACATAGTTTGGAGTATAGTGGCCATATCCTGGTTCACTGGATATCTGGATTGACCGATTAAGTGGCCAAAATTTAAATTCTTTATTGAATTCGCTTTGATGTCATGATTCTGAACAAACATAGAAAAAAAGTTCTAGTATATTTTTTATAATGTGGCCGCTTTATCGGTCGTTCCGGATCCTCCTTTAGGCCAGTAGAGTTTTTCTGAGGGCGTATATGGTGTCTTTACACCATATATACTTTGTACTATCAATTTACAGTAATATAAGTTAAGTAAAGTGTAAAATTATGTCGATAGATAGTGGCATTTCTTACTTTACTGGGAACTCTGGTTGATCCCGGCCCTCTATCTCGGTACGCAAAAGTCTTCGGCCAATGAGATCACCACTAAATGATTCAACAGAGTTTTTCCTTTGATAATATGTTTAACATGTTGACTAAAACCGTTTGGCAGCCGAGATATTCAATTTAGCCGTGGTTTTGTCAATTTTTTGCCCAGTGTGCAGTGGGTGGGTAACTGTAAAAGTTCATTTATGAATTAAAAAAATCAGTTTATCAGAAAAGTATCGTGAAAAGGTGTTTTTCCCTAAAACCTACGAACAAAATCATATTTCAGTTAATTAGCTACACATTGCATCACTTCCTACAGTGCATTTTTGCAATTATTAATTAGCTTGTAACAATTCAGGATCCACTGCAATGAATGTTTGCTTCAAATAGTTAGCCATGTTCATTATTGTGTCGCACTCCGGAGAAAACATTCGATCAGTAAACAATCGTGTTAGCTATAAACTGTAACCGTTTGGTCACAATTTCATAGGTTTTGTCATTTATATTATATATTCAGAACCTTCACGTTTCTTGTGCAAGAACAGCAGTATACCACAAAAGTGATAGGGTTCTGTACCGCTGTGAAAATGTTGTGCCTTTACGTTATGTCCACCATAGAGCTACAAACAACTGTACAAAACAAGGATGACGGGATGAAGGAAAATTGGGAGAAAAGAACGGCCATTGCCCAAAATCGGCCTCTTTTAATATCAGGCGTCCGTTAGGCGTTAATTAGCTAAGTGCAGTGGTTGCTGTTTTTGAACGTGAACCAGGTCCTCCCTAGCAACAGCTAGTGTGCGCTAGGGAAATTTAACGTTCAGAATCTCTTTTATGTTGGACCTTAAAAAGGTCATCCGTCAGCACACGGCCGGCTCGTGAAATTGGAAACAGTTTCCGAGCCTAATTGTCAAGGACCGAAACACTATTATCTGGCCAAACGTAGGCTATAATCGCAAAGGAGTTTTCCCTTCTCGGCTTGGCCAAGGTGGCCTTGCCACGGTCGACCGATCGTAACAACGAAGGACGACGCCTGCCATCCCACCGTCCCGCAACGCCCGCTGGCCCGTCATCCGCTCGCTTCGCCAATCTGGCGAGAGTTCCGGCCGCACAGTAAGACAGGAGTAACTGTGTCGGCCATTCCGATTCACCATCAACGGCAGCAGCGGTATGTACCGGTACAGCGAACAACGCGATTAGGCTACACGACACATATTACACGCAGTGATGCAAAATATCATGACACTCACGTGACACTCGTCTTCGCATAAACCGACTATTGCTGACAGATCGTTTTGTCACGCAGTGAGAGTTAGAGCCATGGCAAACAACAATCACCAGTAATGGTCGCTGCTCACAAGCAAAACGTTACACTCGCTGCTGATGATGAAAAGCACAACGAAAACAGTAAAGACTTCTGCAGTACGATCATGAGAAAAAGCGAAACGACAGAAGAAAATGAAAACAATACCTACGCATTCCAAGTTTGTCTCGGCAGGCGCGACTGTGTGAGTTACAAACAAAGAAGGCAATATTAAATGGAAGCTGTTGGGCTCACTCACCAACACACTCACATAAGCAAGCAAAGCAGCAACTGCTTCAAAACGACCACATATGAGTGTCGTGATTGTCGGGAATGACCAGATCGGTGATGGATCACATCCGAAGACGACATTCACCAGTTGCTTTTTACTTCTTTCGTCAACTTGATGGATGGTCATGGAGAGAGCTTCGACGAGCACAATGATAGGAATGTACTACAAAGCGTTACTACCGTCAGCTGTGTGGCGATCGTGATTGTGATAGGTCGCAACTCTGATTACACGAAATTATGAACACAGAACAACACGCACATAATACAGAAGGTGGCGAATAAATGCGTTTAAAGAAAAGTGAAAGTTCTTCGTTTTTGTATCCCGAAACCCTCTGATTACCCGGTAGCTATCCGACCCTGGGTGTTCCGGTGCCGCCTGAGTCAACCGAGTGCTGTATGTTTGATCTCCGAGTAGGTTGGTGAGTGCTAAGTTCTTACATCAGTTATAAAACAGCAGAGTTTATTATTTACTGGCTGTTCTGCATTTCTTAACATGAGACGCATTTCTAAATACCTACTAATATAAAATAACTCAACTGTTGGGTAACCTTGTTTTTTTTCATGTACGGATACACACCCTTTTAGAAAACTAGTTCGCGGGCGTACATGGAATTTTCACGCAAAGATTGACGCTTGGCTACGGGATTTTTCGGTACAGCGTTGTTGTTTCACGCATCCAGTGACGTTTGGACGACGGATTTCCCCATAAGAGTAAAGAGCTACAGCTACAGCTACATTTTGCCTTGGGGACTTTTCAGTGGTGTGAAAAGGTAAAGAAACCATCCGCTATGTTTCTCGAAACTGACATTTGATTATGGGATTTTTCTATAGGAGTAAAGAGTTGTAGACTAGTCTTCTAAGCAAATGCTTTCACCAATACCAATATAAAGTCATCGTAGTATCATAGACCCATAGTTTTCAAAGCGTAAATTGCGTTAAAACTTCTGAATAAACATTACAAGTGAAAACTGTGATATTTTGTTTTATTAGGCTACCATGTTACAAAAAGGTAAGTCCTTTCATTTCATTAAATTATCAGGTTTTTTGATGACCACCGCAGTGTAGATTTTCGTTAGTGCAATAATACGGCAAGATCATGGCGCCTAGAAATCGGAAACTATGAAAATTTCACACAACTTTTTCTTTAAAAAAGACCAATAGGGAAAATTGATGTGATGTCGGTCTAAATGTTCCTAATTTGTGTCCATACATAAATTCTGCAATCGACTAAATTTTCAATAGCGACCCAAAATATCCATTAGTACCGTATCAATGACACGTTCATCTAGATACAATTGATAAATAGCTGATTTTTAGCGATGGGCCCAATCTTATATCCATAGGCCAACATTAGAGCCATTTCCCCTAAATGTCGGACTAAATCTGTGTCAGAAATAGGCAATTCATTAACGGATTACAATTTCACAGCAGAAGTGATATTAATTTTTCATTAATATACTGCATTATGTCTGAATAAACAAGTTATTTACTTGATAGGCCGAAGTGACGCTGATATTACATCCCGTAACCCAACGTCCCAGTTTAAAGTAAAGAAAATAACTGTACTTACCATGCGTGACGAGCGACCCCAGGTAGATCATGAAGAGCACATTCCGGTGGTTGAACCGATTTGGCAGAATGTTTAAGGTTATTAAAATTAATTTGATTGTGTGTATTATCAGCATTATTGTAACGTTTCACTCCGGTGAGGGTCCAGCTTCCAAGGGTCCGGGTTTAATCAGCAGTTCAGTTTCGGGTTTCGCCTCGTAAGCCACCGCACAATACACACCACTTTTTGCGCTTATTGTTATAATTACTGCACCCTAACTATGCACCAATTTCCGGGCTGTTGAACACCAATCGAGCAGCACTTCTGCGCTGGGCGGAAGGTGGTGCACCGTCATTAAATAATGATTTAATATTATTGAATTTCAACTTGAATTGGCACTGGCTGGTTGGCTGTGGTTGAAGGGAATTTGCTGCCAAGTGGCAAAGCCCTAGGATGGTAGTGCAATTGCACTGCTGCTGAGGCTGTTTCGGTCAGTGGTCGCAGGTCGAAGTCGTAATAAACGCACACGCCAACACTTCACTTCGCTTCAACACGCCTCCAATGGTGGTCATGTTGGAGAGTTTTCCATGATTGTGGAAAGTATATGGTCGGGCTCTGTGGGGTGCACGGCAATGGTGAGGTGAAAGGAAAATTAATTATTTCGGAAACAATCACCGATAGCACGATATTTGCCGAACCAAACTAGGAATTTCTCCGGCGTGGCAATGGTTGGATTGTTTCTGTAATTATAACCGATGGTTGGTTTTTCCTACCAGTGCGGTGAACCGGGTGCTGTCAATAACTATTGAATGTTGATAAATGTACTTTTCACGCTCAGATCCGTTTGTTGGACTGCGTTCTGAAAATAAAAATGGGAAACATACGCGTCAATGCATTGCACGAAATTATTGCAGGAAAAAATAATCATCTATTGACTTCAACCCAACTGTATATGTATATGGAATCAAGATTCGAAAAATGCTAAACTTTAATATCGCAGAAACCACCCTTAATAAAGACTCGCATTTAGGAGAAAATCAATACTCTTCGATTCCGATTGTGGCTCCCAAAAGCCCAAACCACTTATGTCGCAATATTCATTTTCTTCTCATTTCGGCCATAAATTGCTGGGAAATCCGTTGCGTCGTTTGCATAATTTCACCTCTGGCTTGATTCGGCCCCGAAATTTCGATATCGCAATCTACCTGCGCTTGGTTATCGGTCGAGCTCTGCATGCCAGGCATCTTCGCTGCTCTCAAGACGGTTAGGAGAAAAGGGGGCTATTGAGTGTGTAATTTAATTTAGAGTTTTTTTTTTAATTTTGCGGTCAGTTTAATTATTAAGTTCCATTCCAAAAGGTATTACGTTTTTAAATTATATCTCCCAGCTATTCATCAATTGGCACGGTAAACTAAAGGACGCCATGGCACTGTCAATCATGGATCACCTCCCCCTGTGTGATAAACTTCTACCACCAAAACAGGCGATCCTTAGTGCTAATCTTAATAGGTCTTGACGACCTACATAGCTTATGCAGGCTGTTCGTATGTAGAAGATAATAACCACTGCTTTTAAGAAATTATGTTCCCGATTTTTCAAGGTTCTTTCGCGATTTTTCCCGGGTGTTCTACAAATTTTCCCGGTTTTAAATTGTTAAATCCGGTAATGTTACCAGAATAATTGATTTCAGAAATTTATGTCTCTGGATAAAAAAAACAAACTGCATTTTATTTTAAATGCAGACAACTGGAGAAAACTCCCGTTCCTTGAATATTAAAAGAAAATCAGAAATTTCAGAAAATTTTCAAATTAGGGGAGCTGGATGTAATGTCGGCTTAAATGCCCCTAATTTGGGCCCATACATAAATTCAGCAATCGACTAAATTTTCAATAGCGACCAAAAATATCCATAAGTACCGTCCAAATGACGCGTTCATCTAGATAAAATTAATAAATAGCAGATTTTCAGCGATGGGCCCATAGGCGTAGCCAGATAGGGGCGAGGAAATGGCGTTCGGTGAAATGGCATTCGGCCAAATTTTCCATGGTAATTTTTTTTTCGCCCCTCCCTAGCTCGAAACCTGGCTACGCCCTTGGATGGGCCCAATATTAGATACATAGGCCAACAATTAGATAAATCCACGTATGACGCCATTTTAAAATAAGATATGGCGGCTTCCGGTTACAGAAAAATACTATCGAATACCTAACAATATAAGTATTTTTGGAGATCGGTAAATGCTGGGTAATGCGCAATACAGATCTCATTGAGATCACTTGCCTCTTCCCAGCAACTCCTATCCCTACCTTCCCGTGGTACCGGCCGGGAACTGTGAGCAACCTCAGGGAAGATCGAGTAACCAACCCCGGTGGGAACTTTGGTCATAGGCTGACAGGGAAGGAGGGGGGGGTTTGCTTCGGTAAACGTGAGCGTCTGTTCTCCAGGAGGAGCGGCTCACAACAGCGTTTGTTCCCCATGTTAGGGGCGGCTGATCTACGTCCGAGTGCCAGTGAAGGACTCTAAGCACAACTGTGCACCCTGGTCCTCCGGAATGTTAGGGGATTGGTGTCAGGCCCTGCGAGCCAGCCGTAAAAAAAGCATTGCAACGGAAAATCAGCAACAGAGGAATACGAACCAAGACCAGCGGCAACTACCCCAGCGACGAAATAGGACTTTCGATTGGAAACTCGGCACGTGGAACTGTCGATCTCTCAATTTCATCGGGAGCACCCGAATACTCGCCAATCTACTGAAGGACCGTGGATTCGGCATCGTAGCGCTGCAGGAGATGTGTTGTACAGGATCCATGGTGCGAACGTTTAGAGGTAATCATACCATCTACCAGAGTTGCGGCAACACACGCGAGCTGGGCACAACTTTCATCGTGATGGGCGAAATGCAGAAGCGCGTGATCGGTTGGTGGCCGATCGACGAAAGAATGTGCAGGTTGAGGATCAAGGGCCGATTCTTCAACACTGATGATGACAAGGACACATTTTACGCGCAGCTCGACCGCGAGTACGACCGCTGCCCAAGCCACGACGTCAAGATCATCATAGGAGACCTACACGCTCAGGTAGGCCAGGATGAGGAATTCAGACCGAGATTGGAATGTTCAGCGCCCACCAGCTGACGAACGGGAACGGCCTACGACTCATTGATTTCGCCGCCTCCAAGAACATGGCCATACGTAGCACCTTTTTTTCAACACAGCCTCCCTTATCGTTACACCGGTAGATCACCACAGCAGACGGAATCGCAAATCGACCACGTTCTGATTGATGGACGGCACTTCTCCTACATTATCGACGTCAGGACCTATCGTGGCGCTAACATCGACTCTAACCACTACCTGGTGATGGTCAAACTGCGCCCAAAACGTTCCGTCATACGCGCAGAATCTCGAGGCAGCGTTGCCAGAGGAGGGCGAGCTCGATGTGCCCCCTCTAGAGAACTGCTGGAGTACAGTAAAAGTAGCCATCACCGACGCAGCCGATAGCACCATCGGGTACGTGGAAAGAAGTCGACGGAATGAATGGTTCGACGAGGAGTGCAGAGCGATTTTGGAGGAGAAGAACGCAGTGCAGGCGGTAATGCCGTAGCATGGAACCCGACAGAACGTAGAATGGTATAAACAGAAGCAGAAACAGCAGACCCGCATCTTTCAGGAGAAAAAAACGCCGCCTGGAAGAAGCGGAGTGCGAGGAAATGGAACTACTGTGCCGTTCCCAAGACACGGAAGTTCTACCAGAAGCTCAACGCATCCCGCAACTGCTTCGTGTCGCGAGCCGAAATGTGCAAGGATAAGGACGGGAGCCTCCTGACGGACGGACGTGAGGTGATTGAAAGGTGGAAGCAGCACTTCGATGCACACCTGAATGGCGAGGAGAACGTAGACACGGGAGACCAGCGCCATGGATGAAACGACTACGTCAGTACAGCAGAGGACGGAACTGACCCAACTCCCACGCTGAGGGAAGTTAAAGATGTCATTCAGCAGCTCAAAAACAACAAAGCAGCTGGTAAGGATGGTATCGCAGCCGAACTCATCAAGATGGGCCCAGAAAAGTTGGCCACCTGCCTGCACCGGATGAAAGTTAGGATCTGGGAAACAGAACAGCTACCGGATGAGTGGAAGGAAGGGGTAATCTGCCCCATTCACAAGAAAGGCGACCATTTCGAATGTGAGAACTTCAGAGCGATCACCATTTTGAATGCCACCTACAAAGTGCTATCCCAGATCATCTTCCGTCGCCTATCATCTAAAATAACCTAGTTCGTGGGAAGTTATAAAGCCGGCTTCATCGACGGCCGATCGACAACGGACCAGATCTTCATCGTACGGCAAATCCTCCATGATAACCAAGTCCCAACACATAATTTGTTCATCGACTTTAAGGAGGCATACGACAGTGTCGACCGCACAGAGCTATGGAAAATCATGGACGAGAAACTGGGAAGCTGATCAAAGCAACGATGGACGGTGTGCAAAACTGCGTAAGGGTTTCGGGTGAACTATTCATTCGAATCTCGCCGGGGACTGCGACAAGGTGACGGACTCTCATGCCTACTCTTCAACATCGCTCTAGAAGGTGTAATGCGACGAGCCGGGCTCAACAGCCGGGGTATGATGTTCACGAGATCCGGTCAATTTTGTGCTTTGCGGACGACATGGAAATTATCGCAAGAACATTTGAAACGGTGGCAGAACTATACACCCGCCTGAAACACGAAGCAGCAAAGGTCGGACTGGTGGTGAGTGCGTCAAAAACAAAGTACATGCTAGTAGGCGGAACCGAACATGACAGGATTCGTCTAGGAAGTAATGTCACGATAGACGGGGATACTTTCGAGGTAGTGGAGGAATTCGTTTACCTTGGATCCTTACTGACGGCTGACAACAATGTGAGTCGTGAAATACGAAGGCGTATCATCAGTGGAAGTCGTGCCTACTATGGGCTCCAGAAGAAACTACGGTCAAAAAAGATTCACCCCCGCACCAAATGTACCATGTATAGAACGCTAATAAGACCGGTGGTCCTCTATGGACACGAGACATGGACTATGCTCGAGGAGGACCTGTAAGCGCTCGGAGTTTTCGAGCGACGTGTGCTAAGGAGGATCTTCGGTGAGTGGTGGCGATGAGAACGGTGAGTGGTGGCGAAGAATGAACCACGAGCTCGCTGCACTCTACGGCGAACCCAGCATCCAGAAGGTGGCCCAAGCCGGAAGGATGCGGTGGGCAGGGTATGTTGCAAGAAAGCCGAACAACAACCCTGCAAAGTTGGTGTGCGCTACTGATCCGGTTAGCACAAGAAGGCGTTGAGCACAGAGAGCACGATGGGCGGACCAGGTAGAGCGTGATCTAGCGAGCATTGGGCATGACTGAGGATGGAGAGCGGCAGCCGCAAACCGAGTATTGTGGCGTACTATTGTTCTTTGACTATATTTTTTTTAGTATTACTTCTACGTGAAGTCAACGATTTACATAGTTGAAGATGCTAATTTCAAATAACAGACTGTAGTGGTAATTTTTAAACGATAGATGGAGTAGATGAAAGCATAGAGTTGATAGTTCCGTTAGAGTACGGCAGTGTGAAGATTGTATATAGATATTAGAATAGAGAGCTAGGACAACTTTTAAGGAAGGTACAAATCGGTTTTTTCATCTCTCTTTACCAAACTCCCCCTTTGGAGAGGGATGGTGAGGCGACACCCACTCCATCTATCGTATAAAAAATTACCACTACAGTCTGTTATTTGAAATTAGCATCTTCAACTATGTACTATTGTTGATTTTGTCTTATCTTAAATGTGATGTTGTACAAATAAATGTATGCATGTATGGGTATTTTTGG